TGCTGAAGAGCTTTAAGGCTGGCCCAAGGGAGTGTTGTAATCTAGTTCCATTTAGGGCACTAGGGGTGTTAACCCAGGCCCCCGGTGAGCAGGGTGATGTAGTCTCACTTGGGGCTCCATGGACTCTGAAGCTACCCCAGGGCAGGGGGTGGTGCGATCTAAACTCCCCAGAGGTTCTAGGTTGTGTTATGCATGTTGCAAAGCTGGGCAAGGCCTAATTAGGCGATGCTCTGCATTATGGATGCTATGGCTTCTTGTATAGCGTAAAAACAAGGCCAGGGATTATATGGGCCTTGTCTACGCTAGCATTGAGCGGGGGGGGATCTCCCACCATTACACTGCGAGCACCTGTGTAGACATTTTGAGCCTCTCAGACCTGAAGTTCTGTGAAAATAAAACAGCCCTTGCTGCTAATTAGAGAGGTCACACCGAGAGAAGAAGCCCGGTTGTTTGGCTGGAGTGAGCGAGCAGCACAGAGACATCCAGCTGGTCACCTGTCAGGCCCTGATCCTGCAGCTACAGCAATATGTGCAGAACCCTGCAGTTGTATAGATCCCCGTGAACTTCCCTGGGGCTCCATGTAGGCAGATGCAGCTGCAGGCTCAGGGTCTGGTATTATAAAGGGAGCTGGAAGAAATGAACTGATCCAAATGACATCTGGTACATTTCAACCAGACTGTGCTTCTGGGGGTGAAGGTGCTTACTTTTTCTTTCATTGCAGTGGGGCCCAGAGCCTCAAAGTCAGGAACCCCTAGAGCTGAGCATTGTACAAATCTCTGCCCTCAAGGAACTTGCAATCTAAGAAAACAAATGATGTATGAAGGAGAGGGGTATTATAGCTTGACATTTTTTTATAATAATCATAACTGTGATTCTCATCTCTCCCTTCCTTTGCTTTATTCTATTTGACTCATTACATTCTGCTCCAGTAAACTCCTTTTTCATCCACATCACCTTCTTCATTTCCTTGCTGTAAGCTTACCTGAGGTTATTTTTGTGGTGTCTAATTGCAGCTATTTCTGGGGCAGAACACGCTGGCATTTCCCTCAGTCAGGTTGCTACAGAAGTAGCTATTATAATGGTGTAATCACAGGTGAAGGATTGTTGGAGGCGGGTGTTTTGCCAGCTTATTAAATACGGCTTGTGTGGTTTCAAGGTGTGCTGGCCATGAGAAAGCAAACACAAGCCATTGAAAAGAAGAGAGATTTTTATGTCAGAACAGAACTCAGAGAGAATTGGAGCTAGAACTTTATTACCTTGGGCCCAAGTGAACCCAATTCCAACTGCAGTAAGACTGGGGGGGGGTTAAATGCAAAATGAAAACGAATTATAGTTTGTGTGGGCAGTATGAGAAATAATTACAGGTGAATGAATCTGAGAAATAGCTACTGGCATAATGAGTATAACGAACCTATTACAAGAAGTAGTGAATAACAATGTGACAAAACCAGTATCCGTAACTAGACTTACCTGTCACCTTTCTTTTCAGCAGGTGGGGGTATAGCTCAGGGGTAGAGCATTTGACTGCAGATCAAGAGGTCCCTGGTTCAAATCCGGGTGCCCCCTTTTTCTTAAAGTTTTAATCAAAACAAAGACATATTAGTTAAATATTTACTTTTTTTGCAGTCACTGTGGACTGATCTTTCTTTGATTAGGTTTCAGCCAGTGACAAAAGATATAGGCCATGAGTGGAAAGTGGAGTAACAATCTGGGAATCCTTAATGGAAACATGGACATTAATTAAAGTGTATTTCATATTGCGGAACTGAATTATATGGCTTCAGAGTCAGAGCATGACCATTAATTAATATGAAATTATCTCCATCAAATTAATAATATAGACAAAGGGGTTTTAGTTCAGTGGTTAGAGCATCTGACTGCGGATCAAGTGGTTCCTGGTTCAAATCCAGATATCCCTCCTCTTTTATTTATCTACTTTTGGAAGAAAAAAAACCAAAAAACAATGGGTCTGTAAACTAGCACTGTTTTAGTAAGTTCACATTTTGCACAGAGTTACAAAATTTAACCTCAAGATACTCAACACCTGTTTGTATCCACGATCAAAATGACCCATTATTTGTTTAAAATCACTCAAACTAAACAACAAAAATATGAATTTCTGGGCAATATCAGTATTTCTACTGAATGGAAAACTGCAGGAATTTGACATTGGGTAGTTAAACACCTACTTAAAAATATGTTTTAAAAATGCCACTGGTACAATGGGGCCCTGATGTTCTTGGTCTTAAACCTCTAGGTGCTATTGTAATAATAATTAATTGAATAATTAATACACAGCTCCAGAACAGTAGATGATGTACGTGGGCCGATGGTTGAAAATGTTTTACTCACATTCTTCATCAGGAGATTCACTGTAAGATGTAGGTTGGGACGAGGTATGTTAGAGGGGCTTGGGCGGGATTCAGTAACATATCATTTGATTTTTGGTAGAATACTTTTTTAGTGAGGTGGAGGAACATCAAGGATGAACTCTGAAGGGTCAGCAAAAGAAAAACTGGTGAAGGGGGTCACCCAGATTTGGGCTGGGGAGCCTCTTGATCTTCAGTCAAATGCTGTACCCCAGAGCTATACCCCCGCCAGTAAACATGCTATTGACTAAGAGCTAAAAGAGATTTTTGTATGCACAGCCTAGTTAAGAATAATTGGTTTCAAGAATAATTTGTGGTTACGAAAATAGAAGCAAATAGAATAATCAGCTGGAACTTATTACAATAGCTCCTTAAATATATTGGGTGAAATCCTGGTTCCACTGAAGTCAATAACAAATCTCCAATAACAAACCTCCAATCTCACACCTTCTTGTCAACTGTATAAATGGGCCATATTGATTATCACTACAAAAGGTATTTTCTCCTGCTGATAATAGCTCACGAAAGCTTATGCTCAAATAAATTTGTTAGTCTCTAAGGTGCCACAAGTCCTCCTTTTCTTTTTGCCTCTATAAATGGGAAGACCATTTTGAGCTTGTCTGCTATCCCGGCCAAATGTAAGTCCCCTTTTAAAGACCTGCCCTTCCCATGCTGCCTATACTGGAGCTGAGTGATTTGTAAATGAATTGCCTGTTGTTATTCCTCTTCCCTGACATCTGTTGTTAGACTGGAAGCTCTTTGGAGGAAGAGCTGTTTGGAAAGCAACCAGCATAAAGTGGGTGTTAGCACAAATAAATACATTTAATAATAAAAATTTAAATGGTTCAGGGATGATTACCATAAATAAGATCACTGATTCCTATCTACCATTGGCAAAGCAGGGTATAGTTCAGTCGTGAGGCATTTAATTTCAGAGTAAGAGGTCGCTCATTCAAATGCATAGGTACCCCCCGAACAAAGACTGCTTTTTCCGATCTTCTGCAGAAGTCTCAGATACAAAGAAAGGTGAATTTATTAGGTCTCAGGTTCAGATACACTGTTATATTTCTGACCATTCCAATGTGTTCAGGAGTTGCTCAAAATGGCAATGCTTAAAATGAATGTAAAGATACAAGACACCTTTCTAACTCTGGGCTGTGCCTCTTTAAGATTGTGATGCTACAATCTGATGAGTACATGGAACAAACAACTGGAAGTTATTAAAAGCTCCTTCTTAAATATGTTAGATTTATTAGATTTATTTTGAAAACCAGCATCTAAGGTATCTTTTATTCCAATCAATGGAGACAATTTGTAGTACCTAGACATAAGGTAAAAAGAAAAGGAGTACCTGTGGCACCTTAGAGACTAACCAATTTTCCACTTTATGCATCCGATGAAGTGAGCTGTAGCTCACGAAAGCTTATGCTCAAATAAATTGGTTAGTCTCTAAGGTGCCACAAGTCCTCCTTTTCTTTTTGCGAATACAGACTAACAGGGCTGCTACTCTAAAACCAGACATAAGGTACAAATTTTTAATAGTGAGAGTAATTAACAATTGGAACAAGTTGCATAGGGTTGTGATGGATTCTCCACCACTGAACATAAGACTGGCCATATTGGGTCAGATCACCTGTCCATCTAGCCCAGCATCCTGTCTTCCAATAGTGCCAAATACTGGATGCTTGAGAGGGAATGAACAGAACATGGCAATTTATCGAGTGATCCATCCCATTATCCAGTCCCAGGTTCTGGCTGTCAGAGGTTTAATTCCAGAGCATGGAATTACATCCCTGACCATCTTGGCTAACTGGGTCCCCTCCCCCAACCTGCCCCCCCCCTTCCCAGGCCCATAGCCCCATCCCAAAGCCCTGCCCCCCCATTTCCCAGGCCCATAGCGCCCCCCATTGGGTCCCCTCCCCCAACCTGCCCCCCCATTCATTCCCCTCTCCAAACCTGCCCCCCCACTTCCCAGGCCCATAGCCCCATCCCCAAGCCCTGCCCCCCCACTTCCCAGGCCCATAGCACCCCCCCCCACTGGGTACCCTCCCTAAACCTGCCTCCCCTTCCCAGGCACATTGCCCTATCCCCAAGCCCTGCCCCCCACTTCCCAGGCCCATAGCGCCCCTCCATTCATTCCCCTCCCCAAACCTGCCCCCCCCACTTCCCAGGCCCATAGCCCCATCCCCAAGCCCTGCCCCCCACTTCCCAGGCCCATAGCGCCCCTCCATTCATTCCCCTCCCCAAACCTGCCCCCCCCCACTTCCCAGGCCCATAGCCCCATCCCCAAGCCCTGCCCCACCACTTCCCAGGCCCATAGCACCCCCCCCACACTGGGTCCCTCCCTAAACCTGCCCCTCCTTCCCAGGCCCATAGCCCCAAGCCCTGCCCCCCTACTTCCGCGGCCCATAGCGCCCCCCCCATTGGGTCCCCTCCCGCAATCTGCCCCCCCATTCATTCCCCTCCCCAAACCTGCCCCCCCACTTCCCAGGCCCATAGCCCCGTCCCCAAGCCCTGCCCCCCCACTTCCCAGGCCCATAGCGCCCCCCCATTGGGTCCCCTCCCCAAACCTGCCCCCCCATTCATTCCCCTCCCCAAACCCCGCCCCTCCTTCTTAGGCCGGGCCGGGCCGGGGCGCCGGAAGTGGCGCCATCAGCCGGGGCCCCGCGGGGAAGGAGCCGGCGCCGGGAGTTGACGCGCGGCCGGGCCCGGGAGCGGGGCGAGCTCGAGCCTCCGCCGCGATGGGGGGCGGAGACCTGGTGAGGGGGGGGCGGAGACCTGGGGGGGGGCGGAGACCTGGGGGCTTGGCCCCCGGCAGCCCCCCGGGGTTTGGGAGCCTGGATCCCCCTAGAGTTTGCCTGGGGGGATTTGGGGTGGAGGGTTAAATGGGGGGGGGTCCTCAGCCCCCCCATAGGGAAGTTCTGGGGGGAGAGGCGTTGTCTGCAATGGGGGGGATTGTATTTTGAAGTACACGTGTTTCTGTGGGGGGGGGTCCTGTATTTTGAAGTACACGTGTTTCTGTGGGGGGGGCCCTGTATTTTGAAGTATACGTGTTTCTGTGGGGGGGGGGTCTATTTTGAATAGCCGTTGCCATTATGGTGCACCCCCCCCGCCGTTTGTTTGTACGGACTCAAGCCATGGAGAGATTCCCGGGGTAACTCAGGGACACTCAGCTGCATGGCGGTGGCCTCTTTTCATAGTCGCTCTTAGCACCTGTGCAGCTCGCTTTGCTATCCAGAGCACCAGGCCGGCATTAAAGGGGCTTTTGAACCCGCCCAGCACCCACCCCCATCTCGCCAAGGGTTGGCGTAGGGGCTTCAGTGTAAGCTAGCGAGTTGCCCCGGAGCCGGGGGCTTGAATTTAACCGTAAACACATGCCTACGTGTTTGCAGGATCAGGGCTCAAATTTGGTTCTGTGGGGCAAGAGTGAGAGGAAAGGGCTTGCGACGCTTTGTAATCTCTTTGAGTGTAATCTCTTTGGGGCAGGGACTGGCTTTTTGCTCTGTGTTTCTGAGGCCCTGGTCCACAGCTGGGACCCCGAGGTGCTACCACAATTCAGATAATAAATAATGATTCCCTAACTCTCGGCCTAAAACACAAACCAACCCTACCTTTGTTGAATTGAGGTGGTAAACAAATACCAGTGTCTTGGGGAAAAGGGACCCCAGAAGAACACAGTAGTTTTATAAAACCCCAAAAGTAGAAAGCAAAGTTAAGCCCACACTTTGATGTTTAAACCGTTGAGATTTTTTTTTCAGCTGATTTAAAAGCTGCGGCTTGGTTGCTGCTCAGGCACTCCAAGCGCTGGTTTAGGTGAAAATGAAACTGATTTGTCTGTTTTTATTGGCCAATCTGATTGAAATGCCCCCCGCCCCCAAGGTAAAGACCTACGCCTGCTTTTCTTGCATGATTACAGCTCCCACTGAAGGCTGGGGGACTTGAATGTGTGTGTGGAATGCAGGAGCAGTCCCTAAATTTGCTCACTAATCTGCCTTCAATACTAATAATCGAAAGCATTCAGAAAGTAGATGAGGAAATATTTGTTAAAATATGACTTCTGTGCCCCTTTGATTCATTCCCCTGGCGCCCCTTGTGAGAAGCTTGTGTTCCTATGTCGCGGAGAGGTTTTGTGGGTCTGGGATATTAGCATTCTAAACTGCTTGTACTGGTTCCTCTTCTCTGTAGAATCTGAAGAAGAGCTGGCATCCCCAGACTCTGCGCAATGTGGAGAAGGTGTGGAAGGCAGAGCAGAAACATGAAGCTGAGCGGAAGAAGATTGAGGAGCTGCAGCGGGAGCTGCGGGAGGAGCGAGCCCGGGAGGAAATGCAGCGCTATGCGGAGGATGTGGGAGCAGTCAAGTAAGAGTTAGGCTGAGTCTTATGCTAGACTGTGTGTGTGTGTGGTTTTGTCCCTTGAAAATCCTGTGTGCATCATTTGTACTTGAAGTACTTTATGTCACCAGGAGGAATTTCTGAATGGGGACATTCTAGTAACACATTTCTCTTAGGACTTGAGTCGCAGCTACCAAATAATTAACTCTCCTGGCTGTCACATTATAAACTGTGGGTGCCATAAAAAAATGAAGATGCTTGTTATAATGGGCCAACAATTACTTCTGGTATTGATTAGAACAGAGCTGTCCATGTATCTTAGAGCTGTGACATATAATTCCACACTGGGAGAAATTTCCGAGCGATGAGATCAGTTACTCTGTGGAATTGCCTGTGGTTGTCATTTAAGAATGGACAAAGACTGGAGTGTAGAGAATAATCCTGCTGTGACAGAGAGATGGAAAAGACTAAGTCCTAATATGTCCCTTCCATCTAAGTTCTAAGGCCCTAATCCTGTAAAAAATATACATGGGGATTTAACTTTCCACCCTGTGCATGGTCCTATTGACATTAATGGGATTATTCGCCACATGTAAAGTTCAGCCCCTGCGTAGGTTTTTGCAGGAGCAGCGCCCAAGAGAGGGGTTTAAGGTTGGCTTACTCTAAAGCATTTCTGCTCGTCTTTGCAGAGAAAAGTGAAACTTTAGAGCTGCTTGGAAGGAAGATAAAGTAACATGGAGTTTTTGCTTGAAATAGGAAAAAAGAAGAGAAGTTGGACTGGATGTACCAGGGTCCCGGGGGTATGGTGAACAGAGAAGAGTATCTGATGGGCCGCCCTGTGGACAAATACGTCTTTGAGAAGATGGAAGACAAAGAGGCAGGTTGTTCCACTGAAACAGGACTTCTCCCAGGCTCCATTTTTGCCCCCACAGGTGCCAATTCTGTCCTAGACATGGCAAGCAAAATCCGGGAGGATCCACTTTTCATGATAAGGTACTAAATGTGATATTGATCGGGACAATTAACCTAGGCAGGTAGGGAGTTGTGATCATTGCTTGACGATTGGCCAAGAACGGCACACAGCTCGTCTGTTTTAAGACTCATAGTCTGTTTGTCACCCCATACGTCCCCTGTCCACTTGTTTCCTGTATCCACCTGTTGTGTCTTGTCTTTCAGACTCAAAGCTATTTGGGGTAGAGACTGTCATTTACTATAAATTTGTACAGTACAATAGGGACCTGGTTGAGACTGCAAAGCACATCTGTAATACTAATGTTTGATTTGATTGGCTTGCAATGGTTTAGATTTTTCTGCTGACTCTCAGAGATGTTGCATGCTGTGCTTGGAGTCTTTTTTTTCTGTTCTTGCTGTGTTCTGTTAAGCAAGAGGATTTGAGCAATGTACAATTTGACTTAAGGTTTTTCCAAAAACTGAAGATTGTCTAGAGATCTTTTTAGTTCTTTATTTCCTAAATGTTACACTATTAATAATCTAGCTCTGAACATACATTTGTGGTGGGGTGTGTGTGTGTCCCCTTTCCAAGCTTCTCTTGTGTGGTTTTTTTTTAATTTCAAACTTGTGAATACTAAGCACTCATTTGCTTTCCAGGATAAGGGCCAGATCACTTAAGCATGTGAGTAACTTTGCATGTCTGAATGGTCCCATTGAGGTCTGTGAGACCACCCACATCCAGACAGTTACTCGTGGCCTGAGGTGTTTGCAGGATGGGGGCCCAAGATGCATCCTGCTGCCCATGCTGTAGCTCAATCTGTGTGGGATTTTAAGCAGTTGATGCCCTCCAGTAAGAAGGTGTAAATTCTAAATGCATCAGTAGGAAACAGAGGCTGCATTTTCTACAAGGCTGTAATTTTGCATCTAGCTCTGGTATAAATGATTGTATCAGAGTTGCATAGAATTAAATCCTGCAGCTGGATTTTGAAAGAGACTGGATAATTTTGTGACCAACAATCATAGTTATGCGTGCAAAGGAGTGCTGTGTCTCATGCTGCAGATTGTAAACCGATTGCTCTGTGACTCTAGAAAGAATTTTACTTCCCCTGGGCAAGGCTTTGCAATTGTCTGGTTGCATTACATATATATTGCTCTTGGCTGAGATATCAGACATTCACCAGTGCCTCAGCCAGGATGGATGGCATTGGGACAAGTCAGTTCCTAAGACAGGACTTGATGGAACCGTGGAGTCAATCTACACAGGGACATAAAACAGTTTCTTGATTGACCTTGCTATTCAGCATTTCAAGTTGGGGAAAAAAAAACAAAAAAAACCCCAAAGGCCCCGATCCTACAGTTGGATCTGTATGGTCACACTTACAAAGTCTGCTTAAGCCCCAGTCCAGCCACTACACACGTGCTTAACTTTGCTGCCTTGAATAGCCCCATTGATTTCGATGAGACAACTCCTGGTACTAAAGTTAAGTACGTGCATAAACGATTACAGAATCAGGCCTTGATTTGTGCTTTGAATTAATATTTCATCTTTGATGTTATTAATGTTGTTCGAAAACCCCAGTGTCACTTATTTTCGTTAGGAAAAGAGAGGAAGAGAAAAAAAGAGAAGTTTTGAATAATCCTGTAAAAATGAAGAAAATCAAAGAACTGGTATGTATTCTTTAACAGAAATCAGAAGCAGAATTTGCATTGAATTGAGTGAGAGCGGAATTGGGGTCCAGAAGAAACACACTTTAGAGTAGTGGCTCTCAATCTTTCCAGACGACTGTACCCCTTTAAGGTGTCTGATTTGTCTTGTGTACCCCCAAGTTTCACCTCACTTAAAAACTACTTGCTTACAAAATCAGATATAAAAATACAAGTGTCACAGCCACACTATTACTGAAAAATTGCTGCCTTTCTCATTTTTACCATATAATTATAAAATAAATCAATCGGAATATAAATATTGTACTTTACATTTCACTGTATAGTCTATAGAGCAGTATAAACAAGTCACTGTATGAAATTTTAGTTTATACTGACTTCACTAGTACTTTTTATGTAGCCTGTTGTAAAACTAGGAAAATATCTAACTGAGTTGATGTACCCCCGGAAGACCTCTGTGTACCCCCTGGGGGTAAACATTCCCCTGGTTGAGAACCACTGCTTTAGAGAGAGGGATTTTTCTATTCCCTGCCTACTTTTGGGTAAGAACAAAATAAGCTCTTTCATATAGAAAGTTTCTCAGCAATTGTTTAAAAAAAAAAACCCAACAATCCCTGAGCCATGTTATCTTTCCCTTTTCACTTATTTGTTACATTATTGTAACAAATTATTTTAATTCTCAATTCTCTTGTCACAGATCAGCTATACTAAGTCACATAGACCGTGAGAAGGACTCAGGTGGGCTCTATAATAAGAGTCCCTTGCCCCTTCAGAAGAGATTTTGCAAAGTGTGTGTTGGCCTGAGACTCTTTCCATACAGAATCTAATCTTTGTGCAGCCTCCCATGACGGTGGCTGTCTAACACGCGTGTGAGCAGCAATGATCAGTACCGAATTTGGTTTTTGGCATTATAGTTGCAGAGCAGCTTGGAAAGAAAGGAAAAGAAGAAGAAGAAGGAGAAGAAAAAGAAGCACAAGAAACGCAGACATCAAAGTTCTAGTAGCGAAAGCATCAGCAGCGATGATGAGCAGAGCCGAGCGAGGTACATTTGGGGGCCTTAGCCTGGCCCTGCCCAATTTTGCCACCACCTACATCTCTGCTCTCACTTCCTATACTTTTCCAGTCCTCTTGTTTTATTACTCCATTCAAGCTCTCTTGTTCCCTGCTTCAGGGCTCTCATGTGGCCTCTATACTTGGAATGATTTCCTTCTCATCTGTCAGTCCCCCTTCAAATTCCTTTTTAAACCCGATTTTTATGAATCTGATATTTTTCATCAGTCTCTGCACAACTGACCCTCCCATCCCTGGCCTGTTGTCTCATTTCCTGTGCTTTTCATTTACCTTCTCTTTCCCTGTCCCAAAAAGCTTATAATTTAAGAATGTCCTATTCTGCTTTTGTAAACCACTCGGATCATGTTGTGGTACTGTGTTATTTTTAGTTATAATATGGTGATTTGGTGGGATGATACACGAACGGCCAGTATCATGGAGGGGGACTACATTTTATTATTTTTTATATTTCCTGTAGGGGAAAAACAAATTGGGAATACACACTCCAAATACGTACCTGTCATGTTCGACTTTTGGATAAACTCTGAAAGATTTCATGGGTGCAGTGGATAGAAAGAGAGATTGTATTAAGTTTTTCCACTCCAAAGACTGTACTTTAATTTTTCCCTTTAGATCCAAGAAGATGGATAGTTCTTGGGAACCTTTTCATCCCAAAGTCCCAGGGTATGGCTTACAGGTAGGCACATGTGCTTCTCACAATTTACTGTCTGTAGAGTGTGCCCATGTAGCTGTTGGGAAAGCGTGGCTCTAGAGATTACGTAGTGGTTTTAGGCTCTGGAAGAGGACTGTGAGAAATGAGGTGGTTTTGTGGGTAAGCTCCCACTGGGACCAGAGATTCAAGTCCCATCAATGATTTTGTCCTTCCAACATAGGTGATGGAACTAGGAGTGCTGGGGGTACTGTCCCACCCCCTGACTTGAAGTGGTTTCTGTCATATATAGGGTTTGCAGTTTTGGTTCAATGGCTCTCAGCCCCCCCCCCCCCTGTACAAATTGTTCCAGCACCCTGCCTTCCCAGGTGGATAAGACCAGTTCCATTCAGTTTACTGTGCCAGGGTCATATGTTTGTCTGACTTTATACCATGCTATTTAAGCACCTGGGGTGATAGAGTGGCTCCATTGAAGACGAGGATAAAACTCCCATTGACTTCACTGGATCCAGGATTTCACCCCTTATCCTCCAGAAAAGGCCTTAAAAACCAAGTTCTTGTGTGCCTTGTGTGGCTGCTAAAGATCTAGTGGGGTTTTTCATAAGAGCAAGGATTTGCCCTGGTTCTTTTTTTTTTTAGCCAAATTTTCTTGTCCCCTTGCTGTTCTGGTTAGCTGCTGCACGCCACACCAGAAGTGGCTGTATTTTTGGTGCTCTATGTGTGTAGCAGTAAGTGCTTTGGGATTCAAGGCCCTATAGAAATATATGTTTAATATGTCTAAAACCTCTGCAGTAGACTGTGGACAGAGAAGAAACAACAAGGAGTCCTTGTGGCACCTTAGAGACTAACAAATTTATTTGGTCATAAGCTTTTGTGGACTAAAACCCACTTCATCATCAACTTCATGTACAGAGAGACCTTCTTGTGAATGGATGGAGTTGTAGATGATGCCTTTTGCCTCTGTCCCATACATGCATGCACTTTGCCTAGCCTAGTTCTTTCTGCCTCACCAGCACCATGCCGGGGCTCCCATGAGCCTTGTGCTTTTAATTGCTCTCTGTTGAAGGATGTTCTCTTCCTAATTCCAGAGTAGAGACCCTGACCACAATCACAGGCCTCGGCGCTCTCCAGCTGCTGGCCAGGAAAGAGCCACTCACAAACACCGAGACCGCGCTAGGTCAAGGAGCCAGTCTGGGTCTCCTAAGAGAGGCACTGGCAAGAAGAGTACAGGGGAGGAAGAGTCTGAGCACAGGAGGTCAAGATCTCCGCCTAGGCATGGTGAACAGTGAGTGTGAAATCTTCACTTGGAAATAGATTAAAATAAAGGGTATGCATGGCTTCTCTCCCGGGGGGAATTCTCAGAAGTAAGTTGAATGCTCAGCAGCAAAATTCCTCCTATTCCCTCATCAGCCTACTTGTAACTCTTTCCTAACGTTTCTGCAGCTTTAATTTCTCACATGACTTTATCCCAATGACTTGAAATTAAAGTTGGTGGACCGACAGATGCCTGGCTTTGTATCATCTGTTCAAGGGGCTGCCTTTGTAGCTGTTGTAGAGATCTCCCAAACCACAAACAGGGCTTGGGAAGGATTTAATTAGATTTAGTAAATAAATTGTAATCCTTGAATTATCTCTTTATCTCAGAAATGAACAAGGGGAGACAGGGTAGGGTGAGATTCACCCTGAATTAAAATTTACAGAGAAAAGTTGTTTAAATTTAATCATTCTTATGGTGGAAAGTTTTTCCAAATATTCTCACAACACTGACACTCCCTTCTACTTCTAAACACCTATTAACCCCTTCCCCACAAAAAGGAAGTTTAATAAAATCTTAATCAAAATCCCGAATCCAAGCAGAGTTGTGACCCCATAAAGGGAGAACTGCCAGAGACTCCATGAAATCCACTAAGGACTTTGCTCTTGCTATCAGTGTTACATGGAAGGGCTCAGATACGAAGATGATAGGTGACCGTAGAAAACCCTAAAATAGATTGTTAAAGGGACATTGACAATTTAGAATCTCGTCCGTTTTTTACAAAATAGTTTCAGCCCCCAGTCTCCTTGCCACTCTCACTTTTTGTATTCTTTTAAAAAGTTTTTTTTCCCCTCCTGTTGCTGTGAATAAAAATGACCCATACAAACAAGCAAAAGGGGAGAGCAACTATTTGGGGAACCAGTGAAAGCAAGTTTACTCAAAGTGCAGCCAAATGCACAAAATAAGCAACCGGAGGAACTTTTTTCCCCTCTTGAATCTCTTTCTGTTATAGTCATTTTAGGGGCTCTTTGTTTTAAAAATAATAAAGTAAAATTCAGGCAGTGTGTGATTTTTTTTTTTGAAGTGGATAGTGTCCTTTTAAAATATGTTTTGAGGGTTAATATGATGTCAGTGGCTTTAACAAAGTATTTGGTATGGCGAGATGCTCTGAAAAAGGATATATGAAGCAATTATTGTTATGAATCTTTACTTCCACAGTCATGAAGTGTTGATAAACCTTGGATACTAGTTATTCCCTGCCGGTGCAAAAAACTTACGTTGGGTAAAAATAAAACTATAAGAAAAAAAACCATGAAAATAAAGTTAGTCTAAAAATTAATTTTTAAAATGAACATCCATTCTGCTGAAGGTGACAGATAATGTGCCTGGAACTATAGGAGAGCTCTTATTTCAAAACGCCAGCGATAGTCCTTGTGGTCTGTTAGATATCTGGTTGCTACAGAAAAGGACTAGAGGTATGTGGATATTATGTAAAAATCAAAAGAGTACTTGTGGCACCTTAGAGACTAACCAATTTATTTGAGCATAAGCTTCCGTGAGCTACAGCTCACTTTATCGGATGCATTCTGTGGAAAGTACAGAAGATCTTTTTATACACACAAACCATGGAAAAAATGAGTGTTTACCACTACAAAAGGTTCTCTCTCCCCCCACCCCAGTCTCCTGCTGGTAATAGCTTATCTAAAGTGATCACTCTCCTTACAATGTGTATGATAATCAAGTTGGGCCATTTCCAGCACAAATCCAGGGTTTAACAAGAATGTCGGGGGGAGGGGGGGGGAGGTAGGAAAAAACAAGGGGAAATAGGTTACCTTGCATAATGACTTAGCCACTCCCAGTCTCTATTCAAGCCCCATCATCTCAGGCATTGGCACCCTGACAGCAGGATTGTCTGGCTATGTTGACTCCCTCCTCAGGCCCTACGCTACCAGCACTCCCAGCTATCTTCGAGACACCACTGACTTCCTGAGGAAACTACAATCCATCGGTGATCTTCCTGATAACACCATCCTGGCCACTATGGATGTAGAAGCCCTCTACACCAACATTCCACACAAAGATGGACTACAAGCCGTCAAGAACACTATCCCCGATAATGTCACGGCTAACCTGGTGGCTGAACTTTGTGACTTTGTCCTTACCCATAACTATTTTACATTTGGGGACAATGTATACCTTCAGATCAGCGGGACTGCTATGGGTACCCGCATGGCCCCACAGTATGCCAACATTTTTATGGCTGACTTAGAACAACGCTTCCTCAGCTCTCGTCCCCTAACGCCCCTACTCTACTTGCGCTATATTGATGACATCATCTGGACCCATGGAAAAGAAGCTCTTGAGGAATTCCACCATGATTTCAACAATTTCCATCCCACCATCAACCTCAGCCTGGTCCAGTCCACACAAGAGATCCACTTCCTGGACACTACAGTGCTAATGAACTATGGTCACATAAACACCACCCTATACCGGAAACCTACTGACCGCTATTCCTACCTACATGCCTCCAGCTTTCACCCTGACCACACCACACGATCCACTGTCTACAGCCAAGCTCTGCGATACAACCGCATTTGCTCCAACCCCTCAGACAGAGACAAACACCTACAAGATCTCTATCAAGCATTCTTACAACTACAATACCCACCTGCGGAAGTGAAGAAACAGATTGATAGAGCCAGAAGAGTTCCCAGAAGTCACCTACTACAGGACAGGCCTAACAAAGAAAATAACAGAACGCCACTAGCCGTCACCTTCAGCCCCCAACTAAAACCCCTCCAACGCATTATTAAGGATCTACAACCTATCCTGAAGGATGACCCAACACTCTCACAAATCTTGGGAGACAGGCCAGTCCTTGCCTACAGACAGTCCCCCAACCTGAAGCAAATACTCACCAGCAACCACATACCACACAACAGAACCACTAACCCAGGAACCTATCCTTGCAACAAAGCCCGTTGCCAACTGTGCCCACATATCTATTCAGGGGACACCATCACAGGGCCTAATAACATCAGCCACACTATCAGAGGCTCGTTTACCTGCACATCCACCAATGTGATATATGCCATCATGTGCCAGCAATGCCCCTCTGCCATGTACATTGGTCAAACTGGACAGTCTCTACGTAAAAGAATAAATGGGCACAAATCAGATGTCAAGAATTATAACATTCATAAACCAGTTGGAGAACACTTCAATCTCTCTGGTCACGCAATTACAGACATGAAAGTTGCGATATTACAACAGAAAAACTTCAAAACCAGACTCTAGCAAGAGACTGTTGAATTGGAATTCATTTGCAAATTGGATACAATTAACTTAAGCTTGAATAGAAACTGGGAGTGGCTAAGTCATTATGCAAGGTAACCTATTTCCCCTTAAGAAAAGGAGTACTTGTGGCACCTTAGAGACTAACCAATTTATTTGAGCATGAGCTTTCGTGAGCTACAGCTCACTTCATCAGATGAATCTGATGAAGTGAGCTGTAGCTCACGAAAGCTCATGCTCAAATAAATTGGTTAGTCTCTAAGGTGCCACAAGTACTCCTTTTCTTTTTGCGAATACAGACTAACACGGCTGTTCCTCTGAAACCTATTTCCCCTTGTTTTTTACTACCCCCTGCCCCCAAGATGTTCTTGTTAAACCCTGGATTTGTGCTGAAAATGGCCCAACTTGATTATCATACACATTGTAAGGAGAGTGATCACTTTAGATAAGCTATTACCAGCAGGAGAGTGGGGTGGGGGGAGAGAAAACCTTTTGTAGTGGTAAACACCCATTTTTTCCATGGTTTGTGTGTATAAAAAGATCTTCTGTACTTTGCACAGTATGCATCCGATGAAGTGAGCTGTAGCTCATGAAAGCTTATACTCAAATAAATGGGTTAGTCTCTAAGGTGCCACAAGTCCTCCTTTTCTTTTTGCGAACACAGACTAACATGGCTGTTACTCTGAAACTTGATATTATGTGCATGTGTTATTAAAAATTCTTTCCTGGGTTACAGGTACAGCACCAGGGTGGACAGGAAAGAAAAAGAAAGGGCTAGGAGCCCTTCCCCTAAAAAAGGATACCGACGACAGCATGCTTCAGGGTATACTAGGTAGGCAAAATGTTGCACATCTGGCACCTTCATAAGGAAGCTGCCCATGCTGATCCTAAAATAATAGGCAGTGAGTAATGCAAAAACATAATTATATTAACTAGAATGGACTGGACAACAGCAGGTCAGGTGAACAGTCCAAACCGTGTTTGGTATTTACGAGTGTGTTGTATTTTACCATCTCGTACTGCTTCCCACTGTGATGCATGTTCTCTTCCTGGCTACCAGTTGTTCAGCTGCCATGTACCAGCCTGCGGGGGCGAATGTGAAGTTGTCGTTTTATCCCACAGACTGGTAGCTAGAAGCATTCTATATCAAGGCCATCAGGCTAACGTGATGCCCTTGTTGGTGTCCTCTTACCAATCAGTTTAAAAAACAAAAAAGTCTTGGATTCATTGGGCCATGGAGGGAAGGAAAATAGTAAAGATCAAAAGACATTCCACTTAAGTATGTGCTTAAGCACCTTGCTGAATCAAGGCCCAAAAGAAAGCTGTGTCAACTGTCAAGAACTTGAGGCTCAAACAGCTGTTATGGAAAACATCCAGGAGATGGGTGGCGATGTTGTCCATTTCTGTCTTATAAGGAATGAGGGGCCTTCTTGAGTATGTTCATACTTCAGAGCCTCAGCAAACAAGGAAGATCTCCTATGGGATTGCTGTGTTCAATAATGTAGTGGATTGTGTCCCTTGCTATGAATAACTTCTGCATTAGATGGGGATGGGAGAAGCAAGCGATCATAATGAACAGCGCTATTTCTGCCTCTCAACAGAAAGATCTCCGCCGAGGAGCTAGAGCGTAAGCGTCAGGAAATGTTGGAAAACGCCAAGTGGCGGGAAGAGGAGAGAGCAAACAATGTCAGGAAACACCGAAAGGAGGAGGAGCGGGAACAAGAACTGGAGAAACTCCGCTCCCGAGATGGGAAATTCCTACAGTGAGTGTCTCACTAGCCCACCCCTCTAGATGAGTTAAACGCAGGGAATAGTCCCCCAAGGGAATGGGTGAGACAGCGGGTGAGACATTTAAAACTAGACTCGACAAAAACACTGTAGAGAATAATCCTGCACTGGCTGCAGGATGGGATGAGGTAGAACCTGATGGAGCTTCTCCATCTCTGCTGTCTGATTCCATGTTGTACGGTAGAACTAAGGAAGTTTAAATGTTTTTTTTAACCTAATTCTCTTAAAAAAAAAAAAAAAGTGAGCAAGACTTCAGTGGCTGCCTAGTCATTCAGTGCAAGTTATTTGTGGAGCACTATAGAACCGCATGTGTTTTACAATCGGATAAAGAATAATTCCTTGTTCTCAGAACGTGCAATATCAAGGCCTGATCCCACAAATTCCCTGTACACAGACTTCCTGTGGGAGTCTATGTGCAGAGGGCTTGTGTGATTGGGCCCTAACTAGAAATAACAGACCGTGCAGGGTAAGGGGTGTTATGAGAGAGAGGCATCTGTGAACACAAGGGGTGAGGTGTCATCATCTCCCCCCCCACTCTAGGCTCTTTATGCTGGGTAAGAGTTGGAGCATTGTAAAGTGGCTGGGGAAGGATTCTCTCAGTGTGGAATCTGAGGAAGACAGCTGTATAGGTGTTTTCTGAGGACCCGCTCACAGACCTGGGCATAGGGGGTGTGGCAGGAGTGGTGTATGAGGCAGGGCTACAGTACACAGTGCTGTAGCCCAGGGAGCCCCCATGAACTGTCTGAATTATGCTGGAGGCTGTTGCAGCCCAGAACTTGGAAGGTGCAAAGTAGGTTAAAGTCACCACAGACAATCCTCCTGGGCAGAATCCAAAGGAGGAGGGTGGATTCCTCCCTCCTGCTCTCAGAGCAGACAAGTTGACAAATTTTGCGCGTTACTTGAGGGCGCGGGAGGAGCATAGGATATTGTTTAATAATGTGGCTTGAGTCTTAAAGGTAGTTCGTCAGGGCTCACAATTATCCCTTCTTGTCTGTAGCTAACATCGCAATTTGCAGCATGAGCTGTAGCATTTGAGTTCCCAGAGGGGCACTGCCCTGGTTTGGGGACAGATTGCTTTTTCCTCTTGTATGCTTCTCAGAAAGCAGCCAAATCTCCCGTGACAGACACATTGGTAATTAACAGTTCTGTTTGGAAGGTTGAGGAGTAATTGGGAACCTCTTAAAAATCTATACAGAGCAACGCTGACCCTGCATATATGGTACTTAGTCCGTCACAAGCTAAACTATAGTCATTCAAATGTTCCAGTGTAGATTGCATTAGGAAGCAGCAGTCTGTTTCCTGTTCTAGCTCATGCATGAGAGTCCAGGAACAATGAAGCTTTACTGGAAAGAGTAAAATTTAGAAGGATGATCTGACTTACTTTCTCATTCAATTCTTCTGCAGCCACATAAAACTGGAGAGTGCGTCCACTTCCTCTGTAGAAGATCGGGTCAAACGCAACATCCACTCCATCCAGAGAACACCAGCTGCCCTGGAAAAACACTTTATGCAGAGATGAAACTTGCTGTCCTCCTGCTGATATGCTGGCTCACTAGGGCTTTTTCAGAACAGTTCACAGGACACTTCTTCTCAGAGGGTAGCTGCCCCATGCACAGAGGGATTCTCCAACAACCTACACAGACTTCTGCAAAGATACTTACTCTGTGAAAGGGAGCTGGCCTTCTCTATATCAGCACAGAGTTCCTTGGCCTTCTAGCTTTGTGAATACATTTGTACCCAGAGTATTAAATTGCACCAAGCTGTTTGCTGGAGACACCTTCCACCCTTATATTCTATTTTTAACATTTTGCCAGATCCTGCTTCCTGTTGTCTACCTAAACCAGCATCCATTTTTAATACTGTTATCAGACACAAATTTCTGGTAACTAATTACTAGACTAATTGGGCAAGTTGACCTCTTTTGATGCCTGAGAAAGCATCTATTTTATCAATAGTGTAGAATTGGCCTTGGGAACAAATTCACCTGTGGAGTTACTCTGCTAACTTCTGTGAAGTGACACCAGAGACAGACTTAGCTTGATTAGTATTCAGTATCACCAGTTTGGGAATAGGCAAGGAGGGTGTATGGAGTTAGTTTCAGCCAAACTAATCTGTGAAATATCTGTAGAAATGTGCCGAATTGCTCACAGGTTTGAATGACGTGTCAGCAAGGCGGAGACTTGAGTGAAAGGAAAAATAAACTGAAGCAAAACTCAAACAAGATGCAGGTAATAGAATAAAATATTTCTCTGGGATTTTGTACATATATGCAGAGTAATGGGCATAGGTACAGGTGTGTATATCTGACTAGGCTTTTTCTTGTTCCTAACCCTCTTTTCTGGAAATGAGTCAGATTCTAATTGCAGAGAGCATTGTCAATTCATGAGTTGGGGCCAATTAGCAATTAGTGCAGTAGGTTACAGCAGCCATGGAAAACCATCATAAAAATGTCCCTTCCCCCATTATGTTGAAAATGAGTATTTTACATCCACAAATAAAACTGTTGTTCTGATAAGCAGGCAAAAACCTTTGCAATGCTGAGTGACACAATTGTGTGTTCATGGGTGGAAGGGGCATTATTTGGAGGCTGAGGGTAGCAATGTGAGACATTTAATTAGGGTTTTTCTACATTTTATGAGAGATGGGGGGGAGGGATAGCTCAGTGGTTGGAGCATTGGCCTGCTAAACCCAGGGTTGTGAGTTCAATCCTTGAGGGGGCCATTTTAGGGATCTGGGGCAAAAATTGGGGCTTGGTCCTGCTTCAAGCAGGGGGTTGGACTAGATGACCTCCTGAGGTCCCTTCCAACCCTAACCTTCTATGATTCTGTGAGGTCAGGCAAATATACTTTGTATCTGAGAGAGCAAATTTTCATGACAGTTTTGCAAAGCTGATTTAAGTACTCTCTTTGAATTGACCACGCTCTATAAAATGTTTTCCTTTGGCAGATGATTATTGCTCTGTAGTCGCTTACTGCTGGGTTATTCTAAAATTAGTGCAAATGGGAGTCAGAAATGAACCCATTTACTTTAAGCAACTTTTAAAATTATACCTAAAAGACACAGTATTTCTCACTCCTGCCCTCGTACATTGCCCCTGCAAATCTTTCATCCTTGTTGTGTTACAGCAATGGGTTCTGTTAAATGTTGTGTGGCCTCTTCTACAGCTGTGTGTTTGGCTCATAACCACTTTTGTCACAGAAACAATAGGAGGCACTAGTAGAAAAAGCTGTAATTCGGGAGAAAGAATTAGAAGTGCACAGAGTGATTGAAAAAGGCCATACCAACACATTCTCGGTCTCCTCAAGCATTAATGAGATTTACACTAAATGACTAGCCAGTGACCTTAAATCCTTATCCTCAGGTAAGGAAATAAACCAACCAGCTGTCCTTATTAAATAGTCAGAGCTGGCTAACAAACTACAGATGTTTCCCTCCTTGTAGTTCCTATGACTGGGCTTACCCTCTGCCTCTCTGAAAAGCCACAGGTATTTTGCCCTTTGGCCCCTGTCTTTATACTGCACTTGGATTTGAAGAAAGCTTCCCCTGGGGGAACCTGACATGCTCCCCTCTCTGCAGGCTGGAGGGGGAGCAGAGTTGCGGCTCCTAGGTCTCCCGCTTCCAACGCGGGGATCTTGGAGGGGGAAGCTAGGGGGACCCCTGGCGGGGCACGTGGAAGATGAGGCGGGAGGAAGCTGCCAAGCGCCACCCCCCATGTGCAGCTGTGCCCCTTTCGCTCGCCCTTTAAGAGTGTGTGTGTGACATAGATAGCAGGCCATTCATAATTCCAGGCGCCTCGCTGCTTATTGGCTACAGTCGGGCAGGGCGGGGCCTGACGTAATACGTCACTCAAATTGGGCGAGACCATCATGGGCGAGAGGAGGAGGGAGACATTTTTTCCACGCCCCTTCTCTACCTCGCCCGTTCTCGCGGTTCCCCCATCAGCCCAGCATGTCTGACGTATCCTTAGATCTTCCTAGGGGAACCCGTCCGGGCCTAACCCGGGACCAGGCAGTGGCTCTCCCTCCTTACACTCCTGCCCTCAGTACCCCTTGCCAGTGTGGGGAATGGTACATCCCACTCCCCTCCTCCTCAGACCTCCGCCATCTTGGCGCCTCCTCAGTGCAGGAGCCGGAGCGGGCTCGGCCGGCCGGAGCGGCTCCTCCTTCGCGGTGGAGCGAACCACTGCAGGGACGGGCAGGAGGGGCAGCCAGCGGGGCGGACGGCACCATTGTGGGGAGAGGAAGACGCGAACGGGCGGGGGCGAGCTGGCGGGGGCGGACGGCTCCATCGGGCGGAGGGTGTAGGGGTTCGGGCGGAACCACTGTTTGGGGGTGAGGGGGGGGTGTAACGGGCCGGGGCGGAACCATGCGGAGGCGCTGCTAGGGAAGGGGGAGGGGGGCGGATCCGCCATGGCCTCGAACTGCGCCGGGGGCTCGTCGGCGGGGGGCGCCGGGGCGGCGCTGGGGGCCGCGCTCAGCGCCAGCAAGACCAAGACCAAGAAGAAGCACTTCGTGTGTCAGAAGGTGAAGCTGTTCCGGGCCTCGGAGCCGCTGCTCAGCGTCCTCATGTGGGGGGCCAACCACACGGTGAGGCGAGCCCGGGATCGGGGCCCTTCCCCCCCCCCCCCCACCGCGGGACCCCTGGGCCTCCGAGCCCGCGCTCGTTGGGGGGGAGCCGCACGGGAGGAGATCTCGGGATCGGGGCCCCCATCCATTCCCTTGGGGACACCCCCCCCCAGTGAGGAGACCACAGCCCCCCCGGGCCCTCCCCACAGTTCCCTCACGGGGTGGGGGGCAACAATATGGTGAGGAGACCCTACTATGGGGGTCGGGGGGCTTTTCCCCATTCCTCTGAGGGTACTCCCCCTTCCCCAGGGCACCCTGATCCCGGGGCTCTCAGCGTCCCTCATGCTGGGGGACAACCCCATGGTGAAGGGACCCCAAGCACCTCTCTGCCTCCGGGACGTCTTCCATCCCCTGTGATCAGGGCCCCCCGCCCTGGACACTCCCACCCCTTGCCCCTCGGGTACCTGCACCCCAGGAACCCTCCGCTCCCCCCCCTTTCCTTGGGCACCTATGACTCGGGTCTTGGAGCCCGTCCCCAGTCGTTTTCCCCATCCCCTCAGGGCTCTGATACCTCTCAGCCCAATGACAGGGCCCCCCCATCTCCTTGGAACCAGGAGGTCCTGCTTAGGGGGGTAGCAACATGGTGGCAAAACCCCAGAGGGCCCCCCCTGCATCACCCTGGGATCCCCATCCTCTCTGTGAGAGCCCAACTACACAGTGAGATCTTGGGAGACTCTGTCTCTCCGGCCCTCCCATTCCCGAAGATCCTCATAACCCTCTACATCCCTGTGTGGGAATCTACTGTAGTGTGGTTAGCCAGGAAGGACTCTTGGCCCCTCCCCTCCCACACATATTGGAGATTCCCCTAATGCTAGGAAACCACAGAGCCAGCCTTAGCATCCTCATGGTAGGGGCAGATGCACAAGGAGGAGATGCCAGGATCTTGTTCCCATTCATTCTTGCCGTGGAAACCCTCACCCCAAACTTTGGAGCCTGTGCTGGATATTGACAATCTGGGGGCCATGTCCCAGGTGAGATCCCAGGGCATTGGGGGCCATAGATTTCCCATGGAGGATGTAGTGACACCTACCTCAGGTGGAAGCTGGGGGGGTTGATATGAATATCTCTGAAGCACTCTGAGCTCCTTACCTGTCACAGTCTTCTTTGGATCCTGCTTCTGACAGCTTCATACCTTACTCAGTAAACTTCTTCCCTCAGCTTCTGTGATTGCACCCCAAATCTTGCACCATTCTCCTCATCTACCCGGATGGGATGGGATGGATTGGAAATGACTGCCTCATGGCTGTGGCAGGTAAACTGCCATGGCAGCAGTTAAAGATCTGAAATCCATCATCCTAGTATAATCTTGTGATCATGGAAATCCAGAAACCTTTCTCTCCTCCCGTCCTCACTTCAAATTTATTGTACTCCTTTTCAGGGCTGGGAAAACATTATTCCTTCTCATGGAGTGAAAGGGCCTAAGCCATCCATTCCTGCAGAACTTAATTTGCTGATTATTATTATTAATAAAGCTTTCTAGCCCATATGGTGGTGAATAAAACCTCGCAAATATGACCCGATGCATGTTGTCTTCCTGAGTCAAAAGATGCTCAGGTGTTTCTGCTGCTGCTCAGAACTTTGCCAAGAAGCAATCTAATGAAATTAACAAGACTTCTGTCAGCTTCACTGCTGTCATTAGCAACCCCTTCAGAAGCAGTGAAATTAACAAAGATTCTTGTCAGTTTCACTTGCTGCCTCATAGTCACTGGAGCAGTTGCCACTTGGAACTTCTTGGTGGCCCTGGTCCCTTTTTTATTGGCCGTTGGCTGGTACGAATTTGGAAAATTTTTCAAACCTTGAATTGTTACGTTGCAATGGAATCTATTAAGGCTCAGAACAGTTGGCTGTGAAGAATTTACTCAGAGAACGGGAGGCAAGGCGAAAGTTTGGTGCGAACACCAAGCTAATAACGTGATTATATCAAACATACATTATAATGAAATTGCTGCCAGAAACTGCAAAGCTGCATTCTGTAGAGCCAGAAAAGGGTTTAGAAAACATCAGTTGTGACACCCCCCCACCCTCTGACAAATATCTGTGATTTCCTAATGAATTGGCAATTATTTTTGATTTTACTCTGTTGCGACTGGCCTTGTTGCTGAGAAGGCATTTAGGTGAAGCTAAAAGAGTTGGAGCCCAGCTCCACC